CTCTCTCTCTCTCTCTCTCTCTCTCTCTCTCTTTCTCTCTCTCCTTCTAAATAACATCCTCTTCTAAAACTAATTCAGGCTGAAGTACCTGAATTGTGTAAAGTTGAAGTGAGGGGGCTCATCCACGACACACAACAGAAACATACGGTTTGGATAGAACGCTTCTTTCAGAGAGGCACCTTGAACACTGAGCACCAAGGTAACGACCGACGCTTATGTGGTACGCTCAGCCATTGCACGCAGAAGACCTGTCATCTCAGTTACTGTTTTGTTGTTGTTTTCATTGCGAGTAATTCCGTTTGTCTGCTGGGACGTTGTGTCTCTCTTGAGCCGGGGCTGGCCCTGACAGATAGAATCGAAGCTGCCGACCTCGTAGACAATCTTAATTGTGTTGATAGGTCGTAAATCATCTCTAATAGGTCATCTCTACTACAGACAGGGCTCTTCTTGATTCATTCCAAATCAAAGTATTTCCTTTTGTGCACGCCTTTCTATTCTGCAAGGCATCTGCTGTGCAATCTTTGTCTGCATCGATTACTCCATGCATGTTGCTTCCAACACAATCCCCCATATCAAGCAGAATGAGTGTTTGGGGAAGACATATTAACGGCAAAGGTATCAGAATCATTGGGAATCATTACCGGCAGAAGAAGGTAGTCATTAAAGTAGGTGGTTACTTTTCAAAATACACTGAAATTCACAGAGGAATGAGAAATTGGTGTGTTCTCACTCCCTATACTTATATCATCTAAACAGAGGTTATTTCAAGAAAATCTCAAGACATCCAAGGAGTCATTATTGGGGTCACACCCTCAATATCCCTAGATATGCAGATGATACAACCCTACTTACAAATACGAACGAAAATCTCTTTATTAAAATTGTGAAAGTTGTGAAAGAGAACAGCAGTCAGTGAGGTAGGCCTTGACGTGAACTCCAAGAAAACTAAAGCAATGGTCATGTAAACTGCCACAACAACAGATCTATTCACAGATAGGGAGAGAATCGAACCAGTACACCAATTAAAATTTTTAGGGCACACGGAAAAAGGAAACAGATAGAAGAACAGCAAATACAAAAACACGATTCTACAAGTTGTAAAACTGTTCGCGTCCAGGAAAACATCTCTACCTTAAGGCAGACAATAGTGTAATGGTACATCGTCCCCATTTACCTGTATGGTGCTGAGACAACGAAAGAAGAAATGAAAGTTATTATCATACAATTCGCGTTTGAGATGTGGTGCTACTGTAAAATGTCTAGAACCAGCGGGAAAGGAAAAAAAGGATAAATAATGATGTGTGTCGTATTCTCTACACTAGACAAATCCTGCTTAACAAAAGGGAGAAGTAGAAAAATACAGCACTCTGATTATGTACTTTGATTCTGTAGGAAATACAGGATGATCCAAAAAATGAAACAACTACACAACTTTTTTTCTTAAAATCTCACACAAACATTTTTCTAGAATGCTACAATTTGGAACAGACATAATTCATTCAATTGGAATTTGTTTGACGTAAAATTTACGAAGAAGAAACGTATTTTGAAAACGGAAATAGCTTAAAGAAAAAAGCATTCTAAAACGCAAAGTTCACCATTTTTTCACATCTTGTAAAGGAAGTCGTGAAAAGATTGGTTGATTTTTTTTCTCTTTGCCATTTACTTTTCCATCCCTGGAATATTTCAACAATATCTGATTTCTTTTTCAGGGTTTAAAAAACTAACAATTTCATTCTGGAATTCCTAAAAGCAGTGCTCTACATGCCCTCCTTTGGACTCGACACATTTTTAACGTGTCTTTCGAAATGTTCAATGGCGCCCAAACACATGGACCTGCTAAACCACGAGTGTTTAAAGCCACATACACTGTACATATTCAGTATGAAGTGGCTTCTTGAAGAAACAGGGAAGGGGTTGCCCAATAGACAGCATTTTTTGAGTCAACATAATACTGCAGGGTGAAAATGGGCTTTGCATTAAGCCAAATGCTATTGAGGAAATGATCCCGCATTTTTAAGACAATCGAGGAATCATGAACACATTGCTATGCTCTGATCCATGTCATCTCGACCTAGCGAAGACGAACAAGGTATAGTCGTAGGTTAACATCTGCCATGAGAATGTAGACTGTTGAGGTGTAGAAAAGTCCTAGCTGCAGATCGTCTACGGACAGACGTCTCATGGGACTCGACTACTGAAATCTGCACTCTTGTGACGTTTAAAGGGCTGCGCATAGTGCCTGTTAGACCTGAAGTGGTCTTTTTTTAGGACAGTTTAGTTCTGATTCGCTATAGATCCAAACTGAACGGAACTTCTCTACTCATGATACCAAAGGTCTTGAGGGAACCTAAGCATTCTCTCAATGCCGTGCACAGAACTTACGAAATGTCAGGGATGGTAAGTTTGTGGAGAGGAAATGTTCAATACAAAAAAGCTCTTTGCTTTTCACTAAATGTAATCATGATCTCAGCAGGCAAACGAAAACGAAATTTGGGAAAATGATATCTGCAGACTTCTGCTGACTTATTAGACTTCTGTAGCTCGCAACATGGCGTGATTGTTGCAACTTTTAGAAGTAGGCCTACTGCGAACTGGTGCGTCATGCTACGAAAATGAGGGTAAGGTTGAAAAAATGTTGTTTTTATAATACGCCATAGAGAGCAAAATCATTCAAAGGAATTATCTAAAATGAATATCAGACAAATTCCTTTTGGCTTCCAAATATTATGTTAAAATCTGAAACGTAAAACTTTAGTATGGTGGAAGATATTTACCAAACAAGTTGTGTAGTTTTTGTGGGGTTTGTTGGGTTTTTTTACCACCCTGTACAAAAACTCGCAGGTAAGATGTAGGGCCAACAGATTAAGGGTGGACAACGAACCCTAATGTGGACCGAGAACATCAAGGTATGGATTGGCCTAAGTATGACAGAGAGTATGACGGCACTAACGACCTTACCTAAAGCAATGTCAGGTCATTGCACGACAATCTCTGAGCTAGAGATAACACGTCCAGGCATCCAGGTCAACGAACTCATCAAAGCCTTGTACTCGAGGACCGCGAACTGTCATGGCTGCCACTTTTTGCTCTCTACAAAAACTTTGCTGTAAAATGTGAGCACCATGAAGGAAGCCATTACCCCTAAAATGAAGAGCAAAACGTTTAGCCTCGCTGTAGTCAAGTGCAAGCAGCACTTTCCCCACTCACACCTTTGCCCTTTGTTTGGCTCAGAGTGAGTCAAATTACGGTTATCATACAACTCTGTATACGTGGATTTGATGGAAGATCGTATTCTGCAACATGGTTCACTTCTCATTGGAGATGAAGAAAAGATTCCTCTGGAAATGCAAGAGGCGACATTTCTTCCAGACCTCTTCGGCTATTACCGGTATTTTCAGAGAATGGCGTCTTTTATATTTACAGAAAAGGGCCATACGTTTTCCGATATCAGCTGTTTCAGAAATGGAAAAAGATTTTTTAAAGTGTTTTTTAAAATTATCATTGCTTGCTAAATCTACAACATTTAGAAATAGATCCATCTTCTAGTTAACTATCATTGCTATCCCTCAAGACGGCTGCCTTGGAAATCAAGATTGATCTTTCATTGAATTGATTTTACCTCGAACATCTCTGAACATCCATCACAGGTGTGATGTAGGTGTGGGGAGGAAAATCTTACTTTTGATTTCCTTGTCTAATATTTGTTAGACTATTCCAATCTGTGGCATGTGAATAAAGGAAATCACTATAATGTTGGGATGTTCCTTTACGACACTCGTTAGATCCTTCTTTTTCTGTGAGTATCACTCACGGGATCTTTATTTCCCATCTTCTTGGTTAGAACATCCATTTTTTAAAGGCATTGGAATCCCAAGGGAAACCATTAGTAGATATGAGAGAGAGAGATAGAGAGAGAGAGAGAAAGAGAGAGAAAGAGAGAGAGAGAGAAAGAGAGAGAGACAGAGATTGGGGGGTGGGGGACACATGCACGCGCACACTCCCAAGAGAAGGAGAGAAAAATTGAAAAAAGCTGAGGGAGAAGGAAATGGGTGAGAATGAGGAATGAAAAGAAGAACAGAAAGAGAAAATGACCAGTGAAGATAGGTATGGATGTAAGACTAAAATGAGAAAATGAGCCCCCAGATACCTACCGCAGTCTAGTTAAGCACGTTGAATCGTATCTGTGTAGAGATGACAGTACGCCTTTCTGGACCAGCCATTTTCTAACTACAAAACTTGTTTTTCCCGGTCCCAGTGTTAAAAGGTTTGATCTGCGATACATTGTTCTTGTAGATGTAACCTTTTGGCTCTGGGCCCGTGATCTCTCACGCAATCGGGACTTCCATGCGGCCATTAAATAAATACAATCTGGTACTGAGATCAATGGCCTACTCATTTGTTAACCTGTTCCATTTAGTATGATTTCCAAAACATGGCAGATGAGATTTCATCATCATCATCATCATCATCATAATCATCATCATCATCATCATCACCGTCATCATCACCGTCATCATCATCATCAGCAGCAGCAGCACCACCACCGCCACCACCACGTGCATCAGCATTATCATCACTACCATCATCAACGAAGAACTTTCATTAAACCGTTGTTCATAACAGGTTTTCGCTTCCAACCTCTCCCCACTAGTATCATCATCATCACCACTATCGTCACCATAATTATCATCATCATCATCATCATCATCATCATCATCATCATCATCATCATCATCATCATCATCATCACCTCCACCACCAACACTGTCCTAACTACCAGTATTACTTGCGTCTGTCTATCAAACAAAATAACCCCCCTCCCCTTTATTCCCTCCCCACAGATACACTGGGATCCTGGACTACTTCCCCCCGGAGTCCATCAAACCCTTGTTTCTCAGCTCCCACTGGCTGTGTTACTTCAACTCCGCCCTCAACCCTACCATCTACAACTTCATGAGCTGTGAGTAACGCTGACTGTGTGTGTCTTGTGCTGTCTTCTCCACTTGGTATTGGACACAGTGGGACCAAGCCATTTTCTGTTGTTTATTTATTCATTCATTCATTTATTTATTTATTTATTTATTTATTTATTTATTATTTTTTTACTGAGTGGTCCGGACAGCTGAGGGAATGCCGAGCTGGGGCTGGATAACTATTTTGTCGATAATTTTGCTGACAATAATAATTGCAATAATGTAGCAGATGTCCACACTCCACACCACGTTCTAGTGTTTAGCAACACGGATGCCTTAAAAAAGTATTTGTCACATTAAAGCCTTGATAGAGTGTGACATGTCAGTTAGAAATTATGAAATCTTTAAACACGTCTAAATTTCATTATGGAACTCAATGGAATTTAAACTTTCTTAAATATAAAATGATGAGCACACTAGAAACCAGTAGCGGTGGGTGAACCTAGATTTGGGTGGGGCTTAGGTTTCTTCCACTTCTTTACCACCAAAAAGCAAGCAATAAGAACAA